GGCAGAAGTGTTCCTGGCAGAGACAAGCACCTCTAGGGGTGTGTTTGTGGAGCAATAATGAAAGCTCAGCCTACAAGCTGTATATTCAGCACTTTTAACTCTATACAGCTTCATGCTTTTCTTTTTATCAGAGGGATCTTTTTTCCCTACAGCTAAGAACTAAGTAACTGGTACATTCTCTCTTAGAACACATGTTTTATTCTTCATATTCCTGGACATGAGCTAATAGTTTTTTGGAACTATCTGGAAATCCACTGTTTGGTAAGTGATTTGAGCTCTGACAAATTTTTTTTCCCAGGCACTCATAGCATCAGCAATAAAACAATATATATTGTAGAAGGAGATTAAATCAATTGATAAGAGGAACAAAAGAAGGCATATCAGTAATTCAGAGTTGAATTAAACTATATGGGCCTTGTCAAAAATAGATGATCAAAGAATTAAGGTATTAGAAAGGAAGAATTCTGGAGCCATGAAATAGTGAGAGGAAAGTTTGCAACTCAGAGGGAGTAGCTTTGAGGAATTTCCAATTTCCATCCCTGGGCAGAGTGAACACACAATTATAGGTCCTGATTTTAATGATTTATTTTAGTATGAGTGCTGATTTTATCATTACCTTAAACTATCCTGAACAAGTCTTTAAAAAGAGTCAATAATAACAAACTATACGAAATCAAACCACATTGGAGGGGAGGAGATATACAGCTCCCCCAGCTTGCCCCTCCTTGCTTCCTTTGATACCCGCCCCCCTTCTTCCCTACTTGCTTCTGTCTCCTTTTCCTCTCTTCCCTTTTATCTCTAATAATTCAATAATTCAATATAGAAGGTTTTCGTGCTAATCTCTATCAAGAATTGCCAACTCTATATTCCTTTAAAATGTCAAAAATTCAAACTCATATATTTCATTAACAAATTTCATTAGAAAGCTAAAAAAAAGATAAAATTTCAATAAAAAGTCAAATGCACCCTACATCTCATTAAGAAATTTCAACTCATCAAAGATGCTTGTTCCACTGCTTAATTCATATATCTATGTATTCAATATTATCATACTTTTTTCTTGAGTCTTTTTTATATCTAGGACCTTATAGACAAACTTATTTTACCCTAGAAGAAAAATGAACAGAATTAAAGAAAATTGGGAAGGACAGCGGAGACAGGATGCCTTGTAAGTGCAAGGTCAAAGTGAATTCTAAGCTGCTGTCGGGTACATGAGGTTGACCTCATTGCACGATGATACCGTTTTCCTGCATATGAAAGTCAAAGAAGGGAGGCTGAATTTTTTGTTTGTTTTGTTTTCTGTTATAAAACTTTGTATTTGTTAAAACCGCACACAAGCCAAAAAAATGCAAAATAAGGAATTAAATGCACAAAGATGGATTATATGAGATCAATATTATAGACTAGGAAGTTACTAAAAACTAACGACATAGTACCTCCCCGGTGGCGCAGCGCTTGACAGCTGGGTTGCGAAGCTGCCAGCAGCATCTGCAGCACCGGTTTGATCCTCAGCCACTGGGCGAAGGTCCCACATGGTGCGCAGACCTCTCCTGCCGCCCCCTGCTCCCCTCAGCAATGTACTTTGGTCCTTCTGCCTGCTCTGCTCCCTGCTCTGGCTCTGGTGAATTCCCTTACCCTCCCGTGCTTCTGACTGTATCCAGTGCTTGTATAAATAAATAAAAATAAATCTTTAAAAAAAAAAAATCATAGTTGATCCTCTACAGCCTTACTTTTATAATTTAGTATTTTCTCCTTTGAGATGTAGATCCTAAGGATAACTGACTTCTAATAAAATATGTTATTATTGAAGTTGAAATCTGATGTGTATTTTTCACTAATCTTTTATTTTAATACAGGGGATGAATCTTAGTACAGTCTTCTAAACTCACAGCTTAGCCAGTAATTGTGGTACAGTTAAAACCATTTTCCTGAACGTTTTGAAGGCACTGAAATTCTATTACAAGCTCTAAAGGGAGGCCCTTCTGTATATTTTCTTATGTCCTTGTACTAATAATGATTTCTCTAAAATTTGATAATGCTTTCCCCTGATTGCCTCAAACCCTAATAACTTGTTAGGAAAAGTTATATATAAACCGATACATTCTTTTCAATTTTACCGACATCATTCCACTATTTACTGATTGTTAATGTGGGAATTTGGTACCAAGAAATAAAAGAATATTGCATGAAAGGGGATATAAACAGAACAGCAGAGGAACAAGACCTGAAACGTGGATACCAATTAAAACTAAATGTAGCTTTTGGGTGTAGTAATAATTCAGGTTAAAAGTGATGCCATGTGATGACAGACAGAGACAGAGACAATGGTGCAAAAAGTGTTTGGAATGTTTCAGTTGTATCTGCCTGGATGAAAAAAAAAATAAAGTAGTGCTTTCTGCCCTATACAATATTCATTTAAAATAAAAAAAAGCATTAATAGTTTTTTCTACCATCAAGGATATCTTAAATCTTAAAAGTGAGATCAGGAGTTGCTAACGCAAAAGTAAATTTTAATATATTTGCCTTTACTTATGAAAAATATGCTGGTTATTCTTTAATAACTTTCAAAAATCTTTACTCCAAGAAATTCCCCCATATCCTTGTGCAGAAGGAACCAGCCAAGGCATTTTTAGCTTTTCTCAGAAAACTCTTTATACCTGTTTTGTCTTCTTCAGCTTTTTGCATTCTGTTCAATCAATATACTTGTATCTTTTCATTCTCATGAGGTGAGAGAATTTCAGCTGTTCCCATATAGTTTTATTCCCAGAGTATGGGGTTAATTACTTTTTAAATAAATCTACCTCAGTCTCTACATATTAATATTTTGTCCAAATAATAAATCTAAAAATCTGGAAATTAACACAAAGGAAATTTGATTACATATGTAAACCACTGGGTTTTGTTAAGGTAAAAAGCTTTCTCCAATTATCAATTTTCATCTTACAGATTTTTAATGTACTAAAAGTTAAGATTAGTGAATTTAATTATAAGTCCAGTATTCTCAGACATTACTAAGTTTGTAGAACTGCATTTCTTTTAAAACTATTGTAACCTACTCATTTAGAAAATTAATAACATAAATGTATCCCCACAAAACAAAATATTCTGTAAGCCCTTTTATGTGCTAGTTATGAATAACCAAGAATTTGATTGTAAAAGAGCTTCCTCCTTAATTGTGATTTTTAAAAAAATTATAAGACTATAAGCCAACTGTCTTATAAATATATATTTAGTTACATATAAATATGCAATGTTATATTATATTATATCCCATAATTATTATTATCAAATGTGTTCATGTTGTTGTGTGTATCATAATTTCTATTTTATGATTTTTATGTTCCTTAAAGTGACCCCTTGTCTTAAATGATTCATGGGAACTTTCTGGTTTGAGTTATCAGACCCTCAACTGATCTTTCACTGAGTCCAGGGAACAAGAAATTATCCAGCACGCTTCATATTCCGGGAACTCTCGTTTGCTGATATTTTCTACTATAACCCAGGAAAGCCAGGAAGATTTAGGTTTCAGTGAAAACATTATCAAATCCACACATCATACTTTTTAAAAGATCTGTCTGGAGCAAAAAACAAAAACAAAAAGCAAAGGTAGAAAGAAATGAAAATACAGTAGAACCATCAAAGTCACTTAAAAATTTTCTTTCTCTGCTGTTTTCTAAATATTTATTGCAAGTCTGATAAACCATTTTAATGTCATAATTAGAGATCTGATTTTGAATTTTGATCCTAAAGCTTTTGTAACATCTATTTTCAAACCTTGACATCAAGGAAGAAACCATTTAGGAATAATGTAGCTTATGCTATTTGAATGTCTCAAAATAATTTAAAAAACAAGTCTTTTTCTTGATCCCTTATTTAGGTTTTCTAAATTCCTACTATGAGTGAGAACAGCTGGTATTTTTCTTTTTCTTTCTGGCTTATTTTGCTGCACATGATCCCTTCCAGCTCCATCCATGTTGCTGCAAATTGCATGAGTTTATCTTTTTTTGATTGCTGAGTAATATTCCATTGTGTATATATACCACATATTCTTGATAAAGTAAAAATCAAATCAACAAGCAACTATAAACCAGAGACCCACTACAGGGGGAGGAGGGAGGAGGATCAAAACAAGGGAGTGGGAATTGTATGAGGATGATAACCAAGATGAAAATACATACATTGTGCAAAAATGAAAAAATGATGTAAAAAACATATAAAAAATTTAAAAAATAATAAATAAATTTAAATAAAAGGAAGAGAGAAATTAATAAAGGTGACTGATTTGGGATCTAAAATAAACCATAATTAGTGGAATTGATCAGGGAAGATGTACCATTAATTAGTCTTGGTGTAATAGTCCTAATTAATCACATTAAAAAGAAATTAAAAGGTGGAAGCAGAAAGCTAATGGAAAAATTTCTCTAAATAACTACTTTATTGCAACAAGATAGAGAACCAAGAGAAAAAAAGTATAGTTATTTCATATGTTCCTTACATTCTAAAGCTTATAAATGAAAGTGGTTATAGTTTATGTTTAACTCTACATTGTTTTAAGATTAAACTAATCTTATACTTAATCATTCCTTATAAAATGGCTCTTCCAAGCATGAGATCAATGTCTTGTTAGCTTATTTCTTCCATGCCTGTGATATCATTTGGTAGACAAGTAAATATATGAAATGAAAATTAATGTTTAACTCAAATAAAATGCAATTAAAAGGGAAAGTAAGCTGAAGATATATAAGCCAATCACATTATCAAATACATATATTTGATACATACATAAAAATATGTATGTATATTTGTGTGTGTATGCATATATATATATATATATATATACACACACAAATTCTAAATCTACAATTCTTTATAGAATTGCAACTCCATTATTCATAACTCAAGGCCAATTTTTACATGATTAATTCTCCAAAACTTGTCTAATCTATATGTGCATTTGGTTCTTTGATTTATATCAACTCTTCCAGAATTATAAGTCTTACCTCACTCTGGAGATCTCGGATAATTTTGTTCTTTCTTTCCACTTCATTCTTTAAAAAATTAATCTGAAAATGAATAGAATATTATGTAGATGCATTTCAACTTCTTTTTTATGATTTCATGAATTAATCATCAAAAATCTTGAGATATGATAAAACTATTATCTTTTTATCAACAAATATTGAAAAAGAAAAGATTAAAATTTTCAGTAACCAAATCTCTATTCCTTAATTCATACATATAATTACTGATGGTATAAAACTACCCTTTTCTCATGTAATAAAAGATTCATTTTTTAAACTGAGAAACCATGTTATAACCACGATTGTCTTGCCTGACTAAATCTCATTTTAAAAAATGTAGTTCTGAAAAAATTATTAGATTTAGGGCCTCCCCGGTGGTGCAGCGGGTTGAGCACAGTGCTGTGAAGCTGTCTGCAGCCTCTGCAGCAAGGGTTCAATTCCTGGCTGGCCAGGAGAATACTACATGGCGAGGCAGACCTCTCCTGTCTCTCCCGCTGCTCCCCTCAGTAGTGCTTTTGGTCTGTCTGCCTGTTCTGCTCCCTGCTCTGTCTCTGGTGAGTCCTCTCCCCCTCCCATGACTCTGGCCTAAATCCCAGCTCTTGTATAAATGAAAATAAATCTTAAAAAAAAAATCATTAGATTTAATGCTAGACTAGGAATTTCTATTCCTAGAACACTCAAGCTAGGCATCATGTGTAACCAGGTTTGACAGCAAATGCACTGTGATATTTCTGATAAAAAACATGGAACATTATAAATACTGTACCAAGAAAAGCATGAGGGCATCTCCTGAAAATCGTATTTTTGGAATATGTAAGCTTTGCAAATTACCACTACTATGTGTACATAAATATAACACTTCAATATAGCACAGTACTTAAGATTTGAACATTTTAGTCATTAAAGATTTATGAAGATAGAGACCGTATAATTAATAACGGATGTAATTAATTTCTTCAATTTTCCAGTAGTTTTAATTTACAGACTGTAAAAGGATATAGGTGAAATTAATTTTACTAATATATTTAATTGAATATATATATGAATAATGCACTATTAATGATATAATTGGCATTATTTTATAGTATCTTTGAAATTCACTTTTATATTATACTAATAGCACATCCCATTTTAAACTAGTCATTTTATAAGGCTTAACAGCCTCATGTATCTAGTGGTTCTATATTAGACAACACTGTCTTATAGGATATCTGAAATGATACAAAAAAAAAGTGGTAATACGGATTATCTCTGGAGCTAGATTAAATCAGTGTAACTCAAGTTTAGGAGTAAAGCTAAATTTCACCATATATTCAGCTTTACAACAATTATGCCTTTGAAACATTTCACACCTAAAGAACAAGGAGTAAGTTGTAAAAAGCCAATCAACCCTACCCTAAGAATAAATATGCATAAACATTTAGTTCATTTTTTTCAGAACTTTTTTCCATATTTATAAACTTTATTGAAACACTGCAATGAGTTTCATATAACGTTTATGTGTTACAAAACATTGTTATTTTTTTTATTTTTTTCAATCATTTAAACGTTAGAAAACCAAGCCTGCATGAAAATAGGCAGGAAAACTATCTGACCTGTGGGAGGCTATTGAAGTCCTCCTGACTTTTCTTTTTCCTTCCTTCCCTCTCCACAGGGGCAACCACTGTCCTGAATTGATATGTGCTTTTAGTCTTGTGCAAGTTTCTCTACATTTCACTTACTGTGTGTTCTGTAAAGTTTTATACAACACATCTTCTTTTTAACTTTTGTAGATGTCTTTGCATTGTTAGTTCCTCTAGTGCTAATGCAAATCAAAAGCAAAATCAAACAATTGTTGACTGTCAGGCTATGTCTAAAACAGAAGCAGGAGTATGAGAACTACAATAGCCACTCTTCTGACCATGTTGATTTTCATGGCAAACTTGAACTATGAGAGATGATGGCAACTCAATGCGGTGAATCACACTCATACCAGTAAGGAGATAGTTCAAGTTGGTTAATAAAGCAAAGGTATCACTGGAAGGACTTGATGACAATCAAAATGAGAACAATAGTTTATATCCAAATAAACAGTTTTCTCTCTCATTTCTATCCAAGCACATTAAGAGCACTAGAAAGTTTAGATTATGTTGCAAATTTGTTTTGAGCTTTAGTCTTGAACTACTTAACACCACCTTGATCATATATTAATAACATGCTCTTTCACTGATAACTTTTTCCCCTAATCCTCACATTTTTATAGAGCTCAGTATATGTCCCCAGAATTAACAACTAACTTTAATTAAGAATGTTATGAAAATATTTTAAAATGTCAAGAATACTTAAAAGTTTTTAATGTTAAACAAGGATAGATAACGAGAATGTAATATTCAAATAAAATATGTTCAGAATATTTTAAAAATATTAACATTTTGAGACCATATGTCTAGATTCCCAGCATTTAACATACCTGACAAAAATATAATTGCCAGCAGATATTATGAAATAGTTCTTAAAGACAGAAAATACCATGTATGTTCTTTGAACAAAGAATGGAAGAACATAGCAATTCTTTTTTCTTAATGAGAGTCAAAGCTTGAAACTAATTCTTGCCTTTAGACTAATTATGTCTCACTTAAGGCAAGTTAAGCCATAAAAATTAACAAGAGTAGTGAAGTGCATCCAATGAGCATTAATAACTTTAATTACTACGGTTACACCTAAGAGCTCATTCTTTCTTGTTGTGTGTTAGGGCTTTTCATGAAGAATACAGGTTTGAAAGATTTGTCACTCCACTATTGGTTTAGGGATAACAATAAATGTTTATGGGTCCATAAAGAACATTTTCAAAGAGAATTAGCTCAAGACTGCTTCATGCTTTTATGAATTTAATTTCTTAATTTATCTTCTTTTATATTTCTGTGATTCATTTAGCAGTATGATCTTTGTGTTTCATAGCATTTTACTATGAATTTTCCAAATGATGTGAGTATTTGCAATATCTTTTGTTATTTCCACGGAAAAGGGGTATTATTCCAATATGTAACCAAGGGCAGCCAGCTCATAAAATTATCTGATTTAAAATCTAAAATAGCATGAGATTATTTGTGGAACTATATCCAAATTTTATTTTGATAGTATGAAATATTTCCCTTATATTTGCTTCTTATATTCTATTTGCCATTCATTAATATTGCTGTCAGTAAGTTATTTTATGTTGTTTTTTATATATTTCCTAACTAACTTATTCTAAACAACTTTATATTCCTAGTAAATATATTCTAATAATCTTACTTCAGAATGTAATTTTTTTCTTTTTAATGACACAGCTCATATCTCTGCTATCTTGTTATTTTAACTTCATAGTAGTAGCTTGTATCATTTTTGGGTTAGTACCTACTCTGGGCGTTGATGTGTATAGGAAATGTACCAAAGATACACAGCAGTTGTCTTGGTGAGAAAAGAAAGATTCAGGGAAGAGAATCTTAGAAGCACAGGATTCTGCTGAGGGCCCAGAGGGCTGTTGGAGGGGGGAATCATCAACATTTCTGTTCTTTCAACTCCTCACTTCAAAAGGCTTCTCCCTGTGCTGATGTTACAGTAATGACAGTAACTTTGATGTGTTGCTACTGACTTCCAGAATGAAGGGAAGGCAAGTGATACTTCCAAAGAAGAGTGGGTGAAGGTAGGAGAGAAGAATTTACACAAATTCTTCCACATGTCCCTTCATTAATCCTACTGCTGCACTTTGCCCCAGTCTATGACAATCACCCCTCTCCAGCATACATACACTCATTCCTGTAAGTCTACTTTCTTCTCAGGAGCTACTCACAATTTCATGTGTTGGGGTAACTACTTACTTTTGTCACTCCTCTGGACCAAATTTCCCCTAATGTTGTACTTTCTTAGTTAATTTTATAGAAGGAAATTAATAAAGTTACTGGTTTGTCATATTAAAAATATTTCCACAAATATTCATTTAATAAATGGTTCTGATGATGATAGGTGAACAAAGAGTATGCTTTGTTCTGGCATTCCTGGTTCTTAGTAAAAGACTAGTATTTGTCAAACAGGTGTATGTGACACAAGCCTTTGATAAAACCATTGTGTCCAACTTGGTCATTTTCAATACATTTTAAATAGAAAATATATAGGAATGTAAGGTTACCATAAAAGAAACAGAAAGAGTAAAATTTCTGAGAGCATATACACATAGAAGAATATAAGCATTTACTTAAACTTTTTTCTCAAATGATGATAAATTTATGTGATTATAATATATTTCTTTTTTTTTTTTTTAAATATTAAATTTTATTTTTATATTCCCCCATACAATTGCAAACGCCCCATTCTGACCCCAATCCTTCCCCTCCCGCCCCCCACCCCCCAAAAAGTGTCTCTGGTTCATAGTTTTTTGTTGATTTTGATTTTCACTTTCTTATATTCATTTTCCTGGTCCCTTATTTAAGTTTTCTAGATTCCTGCTATGAGTGAGACCATCCGGTATTTTTCTTTTTCTTTTTGGCTTATTTCGCTGAGCATGATCCCTTCCAGTGCCATCCATGTTGCTGCAAATTGCATGTGTTTATCTTTTTTGAATGCTGAGTAATATTCCATGGTATATATGTACCACATCTTCTTGATCCAGTCATCTATTTTTGGGCATTTGGGTTGTTTCCAAAGCTTAGCTATTGTAAACAGTGCTGCTATAAACATAGGAGTGCAGGTGCTCTTTGGAATTGATGTTTCTGTGTCCTTTGGGTAAATACCTAGGAGTGGAATTGCTGGATCATATGGAAGCTCTATGTTTAGTAGGTCCAGAAATCTCCACACAGCTCTCCATAGTGGTTGGACCAGTTTGCACTCCCACCAACAGTGCACAAGAGTTCCTTTTTCTCCACATCCTCGCCAACATTTGTTGTTGCTAGTTTTTTTAATATGTGCCATTCTCACTGGTGTGAGATGGTATCTCATGGTAGTTTTGATTTGCATTTCCCTGATTACAAGTGATGTTGAACATTTTTTCATATGTCTGTTGGCCATTTGCAATTCCTCTTCAGAGA